AAGTATGCGAAGGATGTTTTTTAGTGAATATTACAATTTTGCCATTAATGAAACGGGTCATCAAATCGGGTCGCGCGGATCCGTGTGTGTGCAGTCGGATCCAGACTAAAAAATATCCAAAATTGATCTGATAATTATTAAAATTGCCACTGCATATGTACAAAATTACCATTTTCAATTAAATTTTTTTTAATTTAAAAGTAATGGTAATTTAAATAATATTAGAATGAATTTTGGTCATTTTGCTAAATGTATTTCTGTTTTAATATTATAAAGATTAACCAAATACTAATTGAGGGACAAAAAAAAGAGAATCAATGAAGGTTCCGAGTAAAAGAGCTTTGGTCGCCTCTTTCTCTCGTCTTTTCCATACGGAGAGATACACAGACAGACAAAACCTAACAACTCTGTTCAACAGATATGTCGATAGGACAGATGTCTACTCATGGAACTCTGTCATCGCCGATCTCGCTCGCAACGGCGATTCCTCTGAAGCTCTTTGTGCTTTTGCCTCCATGCGAAAACTCTCTCTCTACCCAACTCGTTCTAGTTTTCCTTGCACCATCAAAGCATGTTCGTCTCTTCTTGATATTTTCTCCGGCAAGCAGACCCACCAGCAAGCGTTCGTCTTCGGTTATCAATCTGACATCTTTGTGTCTTCTGCTTTGATTGTTATGTACTCTAATTGTGGCCACCTCGAAGATGCACGGAAAGTGTTCGACGAAATTCCTAACAGAAATATTGTCTCTTGGACTTCAATGATACGAGGGTATGACCTTAACGGTAATGCCCTTGACGCTGTTTCTCTTTTTAAGGATCTATTGGTCGAAGAAAATGGTAGTGGTGCTTGTGGACATCATGACGATGACGCGGCAATGTTCCTTGATTCTATGGGTATGGTTTCAGTCATCTCTGCTTGTTCTCGTGTTGCTGCTAAGGGTTTAACAGAATCAGTTCACGGATTTGTGATAAAGAAAGGTTTTGATAGAGTAGTGAGTGTTGGTAATACTCTCTTGGATGCTTATGCTAAAGGCGGAGAAGGAGGTGTAGATGTGTCAAGAAGAATCTTTGATCAGATTTTGGATAAGGATCGTGTTTCGTATAATTCGATCATGAGTGTGTATGCTCAGAATGGAATGTCTAATGAGGCTTTTGATGTTTTCCGTATACTGATAAAGGATAAAGTTGTGACCTTTAACTCCATCACACTGTCTACTGCATTGTTGGCTGTTTCGCATTCAGGTGCACTGCGTATTGGGAAGTGTGTTCATGATCAGGTGAATTGAGATTGCTGTTATTACGTTTGGTATCCAGTTTCGACTTTTTCTTCTCGTAATTGAAAAGTTGTGTCTGATTTGCAAAGATCTAATGTGCCTATGCAGGTGATAAGGATGGGTCTTGAAGATGATGTGATAGTCGGGACGTCGATAATTGATATGTATTGCAAATGTGGAAGAGTTGAGACAGCGAGAAAATCATTTGATCGAATGAAAAACAAGAATGTTAGGTCGTGGACTGCCATGATTGCTGGATATGGAATGCACGGCCACGCAGCTAAAGCGTTAGAGTTATTCCCTGCTATGATTGATTCAGGGGTTAGACCAAATTACATTACTTTTGTATCGGTGTTAGCTGCTTGCAGTCACGCAGGTCTTCATGCCGAAGGCTGGCGCTGGTTTAATGCTATGAAAGGGAGATTTGGCGTGGAACCTGGTTTAGAACACTACGGTTGTATGGTAGATCTTCTAAGTCGCGCCGGGTTTCTTCAGAAAGCTTATGATTTGATACTAACAATGAAGATGAAGCCGGACTCTATCATCTGGAGTTCACTTCTTGCAGCTTGTAGAATTCATAAAAACGTGAAGCTCGCAGAGATATCCGTGGCCCGTTTGTTCGAGTTAGACCCTTCGAATTGCGGTTATTACATGTTGCTTTCGCATATCTACGCCGATGCAGGGCGTTGGAAAGATGTTGAGAGGGTGAGGATGTTAATGAAGAGTCGTGGATTGGTGAAACCGCCGGGTTTTAGTCTACTTGAGTTGAATGGTGAGGTTCATGTGTTCCTGATCGGAGACGAAGAGCATCCTCAGCGTGAAAAGATTTACGGGTATCTAGTGGAATTGAACATGAAGCTGTTAGAGGCAGGTTACGTGTCGAATACAGCATCGGTTTGTCATGATGTTGATGAGGAAGAGAAAGAGATGACACTGAGAGTTCACAGCGAGAAACTTGCGGTTGCGTTTGGGATCATGAACACGGTTCCTGGCTCGACGGTTAATGTGGTTAAGAATATGAGAGTTTGCAGCGACTGTCACAATGTGATCAAATTGATTTCGAAGATTGTTGATAGAGAGTTTGTGATTAGAGATGCCAAACGGTTTCACCATTTCAGAAATGGGTTTTGTTCTTGTGGAGATTACTGGTGATTGAATACAAAACGATTTTATTTTTCTTTCCGTGTAAGAATATACTAATAGCGATTTTGTTACCTATATAGATTCAAAGTACCCACGACAAAAAAAATAAAATGATTCAAAGTAGACTGACTAGACTCTTTTAAATAAATCTTGTTTTGGTTATATATATATTAGAAAAACTGAAAATGTAGCGTCAAACTCTTGTAGCTCGATTGGTCAATGATGGTACTTTGAAAGACCAACATATGACCAGATCGATGCTCGGGCAAGGCATTCAATTGACAGATGCAGAACAAGAAACCAAAAAGAAAAAAAATACAATCTTATAATCATACGAGGTATTCTCAAATATCTTTTTCATTTTTTTTCTTCTGAAAAATATTAGCATGATTAAACTTTTTACCATAGTCTGGCAAATAACGTGGTTACAGAAACATCAATTCATCAGTTTCTATATGCTT